ATATATATATATATATATATATATATATATATATATATATATATGTATATATATATACCGTGTAATTTTTTTCAGATGAGTACTTTATCTAATTTACTTTGTTTTATGTTGTATATGTATTAAAAATAATATTTGTTGAATATTTCTATGGTTTTCTTTTTATCTAAATGCCATAGAATTCATAAAACCGCTTCTGCATTTGCGCCTGTCAACTTGCGCTCTACGTACTGTGACGAGACGTTTGAGTTCTCGTCACTACGGCCCGACCGACCATCCGTCGGATCGAGAAATAAGGCGCTCAGCGCCAAATAAATTATCAACATACCGCCGGTTCGCGATAACGCCGTCGATTGTTCCCAAATGAAAGGACGACGTACGTGCGAACTTCGTGAGTCGGCGGATATATAAGCCGCGCGCGATAACGACAGAGCACCAGTCCGCAGCATTCATTGTTCTCACGAGCACGAACGCCTTTCCAGCTTCCAACCGGTGCGCTTATCGACTGTCCTGAAACCGCTCCGCCGCGAGAAGTTGCGCTTATCTCCTCGCGGAATCTTCTCCAAAACCGTCGATCCGCTCCAGAGTCAAGGGATATAGAGCTGGCGCGCTCATCGCCTCTGCTAAGCGCTCCTGGCACCCTGGTCGGCTTCTGAGTGTCGCTCAGGCCATCCGTCCGAATCAATACACCGCCGCAATCCGCCGATCACCGTTGCACCGCGATATCCACAAGCGACCCCGGCTGCTATAATCGCCGCCCACCGTGTAGCATTAAGTCCGAATCCGCGATCAGAATTAAGTCTGCGTTCGTGTTAGAGTTAAGTTAGTATTAAGTTTGTGCTAATATTAAATTTCGTTCGCGTTAGAGTTAAGTTAGTGTTAAGTTTGCTCTAGTATTAAGATTCGTTCACGGAAACTACACGCTAGCACCAAGTTCGCCGCACGCGTCCGTCGACCGCGTACACTGTACACTCTATCAATAAATTGTTTTACTTGTTTATTCACGATTCACTCACGTACACTCACACTCACACCCGCACCGAGATACGCGTTGCCCGCCTCTCACAGGAACTCGTAGACACCGGCGAGCTTATCCACCGCCGCCCAGCGTCCGTCCAAAACTGAAACCGAACGTGACAGTACGTCTATTTGTGCTATAAAACGACAGCTATATTATAAATCGACAGCATCATCGATAACGTACGAATAGATATAAGAACGAATAGAAAATATTAAATTTGCAAAAAAAAACTTAATGTAAATTTTGTTCCTCGCATATATAAGAACTCGGTGTGTCCACGATTCCAAGATGCAAAGCGCATTGCTCTTTATTATGCAGTTGCTGGGAAATGTATAAATTTTTGAAATATAACATTTTTGTATTTGTATTTGTCAACAAAAAAGTTAAAAATAAATAACTTCTATTACATATTGATTTGTGTAAGAATTTGCTTTAGTCTTTCACTCGTATTTATATTAGTATACAGTTTTCAACTGTTTTTATGCATTTACGTGTTACTACATGTCAGCGAACTAGTAATATACGTTAAAAATCAAACAACATTGATTACAGCGAATGTCTCGGGTTAAAAATCAAACATTTTATACTATTAGGTGTGGGAAAAAGTTCGTGGCGTTTTTTTAGTAAAACTTAAGTATTTTTCTTAGAGTATTAAAATCAATTTATTCAAACCAAATATGTTCCATTATTTTCGATAACATTTTGTCATTTTTGGGGCAGAGCCATAATCCCATCGCGATAGATCTTCTGTGGTTTCTGGTCGAAAAACTGCTTCAAGTGATTTTCACGAGCATCTTTTGAAGCCAGCTTTACACCATTAAGAGAGTTCTGTAGAGACCTAAACAAATAGTCTGAGAATGCTATATCAAGACTATACGGTGGATGCATCAAAACTTCTCAGCCAAGCTCTCGCAATTTTTGCCGAGTCATCAAAGATGTGTATGCTCGAGCGTTGTCGTGATAGAACACGACACTCCTCCTATTGATCAATTCTGGTCGCTTCCTCTCAATTACTTGTTGTAATCTCTCTAGTTGTTCACAATTAATCAGAGTTCGGAATTAATTTTTTGACCGGGCGGTAACAGCTCATAGTGAACGATTCCTTTCCAATCCCACCACACACACCACATCACTTTTTTCGTCGTCAATCCAGGTTTTGCGATTGCTTGCGCCTTCTCTTCTTCCTTTGTTCACGATCTTTTTCGAGTTCGATTGTCATACGTGACTCATTTTTCATCATAAGTTATCATTCTCTTCAGAAATGACTCAATTTCATTCCGTTTCAGTAGCATATCGCAAATGTTAATTCGGTCCATCATGTTTTTAACACTCAACTCGTGAGGAACCCAAACATCGAGCTTCTTTTTGTATCCAGCTTTGTGTAAATGATTGAAAACTGTTTTGTGGTCGATGCCTAGTTCCCTGGCAATCTTCACACTGCTCACATGCTTATCACGCTTTTTCCATGATTTCATCGGACTTTTCGGTGATTGGTCGACCGGAGCGAGTTTCATCTTTGATATCGAAATTTCCAGTACGAAAGCGAGCGAACCATTTCCGTACTGCTGATTTTAATAGAGTATCTTCACCGTAAACAGCACAAATTTTTTCACAAACCTGTGCAGCGTTCTTGCCTTTATCGTAGTAATACTGCAAAATGTAGCGAATTTTTTCCTTATTTATTTTCATTTTCAAAATAAAATAACTTTTGATCCATTTCACCGATTTCAATTTTTTTCGGCTCAAACAAAGGTTGAAATGTCATGCGTGTCTAGTGTTGTCGATGCGATTAGTAGTTACTAATAAGTAGTTACTAATAAGCGAGTACTGAGTATGTAATGCCATCTAGTGCCAAACGCCACGAATTTTTCCCACATTCAATATCTAGCAAAACACCCAATCATGAAAATTCGCAATGTTTACCCCTTGTTGATAAAATTGAAATATCGAGTTATATAAAACTGAAATATCGAGAAATATGCAGTTTTGTTGATAAAATTGAAATATCGAGTCGCTAATTTTTTTTTCATTTTTTCAAGTATGTCTTTTCAGAATTTACAAGTAGTTTTCAAATTGGTCTATAAACAAGAAAGATATGATTTTTTTTAAACTAAATCAAGATTTTGTTGCATTTATTTTCTCTTTTAATCCGTATAGCTCGGAACTCCTTAATTCTATCGACTTTTATCGACTCTCATTTATTATAAGCTTGTTCTTTGATCAATTCTCTATACATTAAAAAAAGAATAGAAATATCTCCATTTTTACTGGAGTTACAATGACAAATGTTGATGGGTCCCCGGGACCTCAATGTGGACAATACGTAGGCAAATAAAAGTGTGTATAACTAGGGTTAAAGTGTGCATTTAAAATTGGACACTCTTATATATAAATAAAATTTTATAATATTTCAGATTATAATGTTACGTCCTGCACGGACGTGAACAATATATCTTATTTTTTCCACATCCGGGATGCATCTGTAAAACAGCACAAGACAATAAATAGTTTTCCTTCAATTGCAAGATTTCCTCAATAAAATTTCAGCGATAATCCAATCCGCAACCCTGGGAAGCACGTAACCGAAACTCTTCTAACTCCATAAACCTATCCCGCTGGAGCCGAGTACTTTATCTGTAAATCAAAGGCGGCCAAACCTTAAGAAAGAAAATATCCATTGTCACACGAATTATACTGTCTCAGTTCCTGATTTATATCTGTACGACTGTCCTCGACAGCTCGCCCCGAAAATTCCCTCACCACTTCAAAATTCCTCTAATCAGTACCTCTCCAAAACGCGTGATTTTTCTCCACTTACAATCCCAGCCAAATAAATTTTTTTAACCATTTTTCTTAAAACATTACTGGCTACAGACCTCATCCCGCACCTACCAAATCCTCTAACAAATCCAGCAACAAGTATCCCTGAAAATTCACATTTTTCAACCCAAACAGTCTCGTATAAAAATCTAGAAGCACAACCCGCGTTCTCAATATTTTTTGCTCTTTTAGTACGTGCCAGTTGAAATCGTTGCACCATTTTCTCGTTTATTTTCCGTGACTCTTTATATGATCCTTCTCGCGATTTTCCCAACAACTCCGTTACGCGACAATGTGGTGATTTTAAGCCCCTTCCGGAGTCTCAGCAGCAAACTACCCAGCTACAGACCACTTAAAGTCTGCAGCCACCCAGCTTCTATTTTTTCGTCAACAAATTACAGCCCAGGTCTTTCAAAGTAAGTCATCTTATTTTTTCTTTTTTACTTTCTTTATTCTTCCTCCATTTATTAATCCTGACCTTCAATTTTCTTTCTCCTTTCTCTCTCCCCCGTCTTCACCAATCCTTCCATAACCTTCCCTACCAGCCACACAGAAATGTACACACATACACATGTGCACCTCCGCATCTGGGTTTTGAAAATAGGTTCTATATTAATTTTGTTATTTCATATTGAACAACTAAATATAAATTTATATCCAATTTGTAATCAACAATAATTAAATAAATGTATACATATTTTATTTAGAGTCGTGCTAAATAACCTTAATCCATCATTAATAACAATATCCCCCAATTCTCCTGATTCAGCCTCGCGCTTGCGGTCAGTCCCTGGATAAAGAGATTCAGTTCTCTGATCTGAAATAGGACCACCCGACGTACCTCGTGGCCAGAGTGAAGGAACTTTTCCAGCTCCTGACCTGCTTCGTGATAATCAGGTACGCGCGGGACTTACAGGTACTCACGTGGACAGTCCACTCGGCCGTCGCGAGCAAATCCGTCACGTAACAACACTTATTATTTTGTGAATCACGATTATCTATATTGGAGAATCTCTACTTGATCTATCAATTGCAGAGAACTACGTTTCAGGGTAGCAGTAAAATGTAGTGCATTTCTTTCCACAAATACGCCTTTATTACGTTTCACGTACAGATACATAGTGTGTAGTTGACTTTCATACGCTACGCGCACGTAAAGTACGTCGTCGTTGTAAGAAAAATAAAAAAGGACTCGTGCTCTTTTTATGTTCACCACTCTTGATTCATCCAAACTTCTTACGAAATACTCACTCGCTCGTCCGTTTTGTAATGGCAATAGTATATAATGAGAAGATCAATTTCACATCATCGATTCTCCAGATAGAGACAAGTCACGAGGTAGACGATCAGCCTACGGAGACTTTTACATCAAGTATTACTTAAGTATAATATTTTACTCAACAGTCATGACATATTTTTCGGGTCCGAGTTGATCCGGATAGATTACTCATCAACGATTGCCGATTAGTTAGACGACACAACCTAGTAAACATCAACTAACAGTGTATAAATGTTATAATTTCCCATTCAGCAATATAAATGTAATATAACTCATGCTATACATAACAGTTACATTGTTAAGTGAAAAAGTATATCATTGGTGTGTTACCATTAGTAAGTGTTTACTTGGAATTATTTCTCAGATCAGTAATACCTTATTTCAAAGACAAAACTACTCGTGCGTGGGTTAGTGTTTTACACGTTGAATACATATATACATCGCGAACTTTATCACTTTCAAGTTAATTAAAACCAGTCACATATATTCATACAACAAGCCTCACACATCGTTTCAACTATCAAGGTTATATGCCCTGAGTAGATGTTATCCGAAGTTTACCATTTCGCCATTATTTTGCAATAATTACCGCTCGATCATAATCACGAAATTAGGAAGCTTACGAAATAAGCTCGATGAAATCATCTCGATGTAACGCGTTTGAATACAAGTGTTACGTATTTTAGTATCTCTTGTTACCTCTATATGTACATGATCGGTCGTACTTACATTAGCTCAACAACAACAATCTCTCTCGATCTGTTAACTCGCGCAAAAAAATCACTCTTCCTCTTTTTCACGCGAAGAGTCAGTCTCAGTTCGTGTTGCGACTCGACTCGTCCTAATCACAAGTGAAAGCTCATTACGTGGGGGGTATTTCCGATTCATATTTACAATAGGGTCTCCTCAGAATAGAAACGGCGCGAGTATTCGTTGTTGTAGGCCCACGGCGACGAGGAGAGTTCCACGAGTTGCGTGTCCGTCGTAACCGCAGTCGTCGTTGCCGATCGTTGCAGCTGCGTTCGGCGAGCGCCATTGCAGCTGAGCGCAGCCGCAACTGCGGTCTTCGGGGAGCCTCGTCAACCCCCCTCGGATAAATCTCAGCAGGAACACTCCTCCTCTCTTGGTAACTCGTGACTCAGGGAATCCTTCAGTTCCGAAAAAAACAAGAATATCATGAAAAAGTGGAATGAAGCTCGTCGGAAACAAAAAGTGAAGAGCTACGTCTCAATAATACTATGAAAATCTGTAATGGCTAATGCAATGTAATTTGCATACGACAATTTGCAGCTTTTTTAGAACTGTCATTGATTCATTGAACTTGTGAAACTTAATAATAATAATAATAACAATATTATTATTAATAATAATAATTATAATAATAATAATAACAACAGCAATATTAACAAGATAATACCCTTTAGTTACATAAAAAAACTATACATATAAAGAATCAAAAGTAACACAAACACAAAAAATAAGCTAAAGGTAAAATAATAATTAAAAATAAAATAAAAATAAGTGAATAACATAAAAAATCAAGCGCTATAGATAAATGAATATACAAATAAACTATAAAATGAATACTTAACATAATTAATAAATAAATAGAATAAGATAAATATATAAATATATAAATAAATAAATAAATAAATAAATAAATAAATAAATAAATAAATAAATAATAAATAAGTGTTGGGTAGAAAATAGCAAAAATTATTTGATAGGGATGAAAAATACTAGAAATTAAAATAAATAAAATAAAGATGCAAATGATAAAATAGTAGATTTATAAAATAAATAAAATAAAGTAGATTTTACAAAATAAATAAAATAAAGATGCAAATGATAAAATACAAGTAGTAGATTTTATAAAGTAAGAAAATAATAGAAACACAAGGGGAACACCAGATGATTGCTTCGGAGATTTTGATGCGCTTTTTATAGGTTGTTCTTGGGCGAAAAAAACGACACGTGTTCGGCCGTTTTAGCCAATAGGCCATAGTTTCGAAGAAATCGATTTTTAAAGAATGACTCTAATCGGCCGCAGCACATTTGATGTGTTCGACCGTCACTATTAAACAACAGCAGCGGTAACGAAAGAAAGTAACGACGTTGATTTCGTATGCAGTAGGTTGTGTATTCAAATATTGTGTATTTTGTTAATTAAAAATTCGTTTCTATCTGTAATTATTTATATTATTTATATTATTAATATACATAAATATTATTATTTATTGAATTATATTGGTATTTTTTTTGTAAATAAAATTTAAAAATTTTTAAATAATTATTGTAATAATTTGAAAAAGCTGCATAAAGGAATATTATCTTTTAAATTTTTTTAAAATTTAGTATTATTAATTTTTATTACTTTTTGAATGTAATGAAATTTTATAAATTTACAAATTAGTAAATAATTTGTTTTCTTATTGTCTATTTCTTATTTTCGTACTTTTCTTTTTTTTTTTAATCAATTACGCAATGATAAACAAAGGTTGTGAAGCTTGTGCCGATATGTCATTCTTTAATGATTCTATATTATTTGAGGAAATTATTAGAAAATTTTTTGTCATGTTGCTCATGATTACTCACGTTTTTATTACATTTTTATTTATATATCCATATGAATAACAACAACGACGACGACGACAACGACGGTAATAATAATTACTCTATACATGTATATTTAATTATTTATTAATTTATACAATTTTATTACAATAAAAAAATAATAAAAATTAGTAACATTAAATTAAAATAAAATTTATAGAGATAATATTTCTTTATACAGATTTTTAAAATTATTACAATAATTATTTAAAAATTTTTTAATTTTATTTACAAGATAATATACCAATATAATTAAATGAATAATCATTTTCGTGTACATCTACATTAATAATATAAATAATATAAATAATTACAGATAAGAACGAATTTTTAATAAAAAAAATGCATGAGATTTGAACACGCAACCTACTGCGTACGGAACAACGCCTTACCTACTATGCTACCGCTGCTGCTGTTTAATAGTGATGGTCGAACGAATCAAGTGTGTCGCGGGTGACTTTAAAAATCGATTTCTTTAAAAATCTATTTCTTCGAAACTATAATCCATTGGCTGAAACGGCCAGACATGTGTCGTCTTTTTTCGCCCAAAAACTGTCTATAAAAAGTGCATCAAAATCCCCGGAGCAGTCATCTGGTGTTCCTCTTGTTAGTTAAAAAATAGTGGGAGCTTTTTTGAAAGCTTTATCTAAAATCTTTATCTCTTTATCTAAAATCTCTTATAAATTTAAAATCTTATAAATCTTATAAATTTTATAAATCTTATAAATCTTATAAATCTTATAAATCTTATAAATCTCTTATTAATTTCCGAAAGACATTATTAAACTGCGATTGAGGAGTTCACATCTGAGAAAGTTGGCGTGAGAAATTTAGATCGTTGAAATTCTTAGATCGGTGAAGTCAACGGTTTTTCCATTTTTTCGGAAAATTCTTTTTATCATATATTAAACGTCGAGGTGAAACTATCACCGTCGAGTTACTTGCGCCCTTTTCTCTCAAAACGAATCCTCCATCGCATCATGAAAGTTTGAAATCGTCGATGGATGAATTGCGTCTTAAGATGATTTTCACCAAACTCTGATTAATCTAGTTGACAATTAACTCATTCGTCAGAATTGCCAATATAGAAAATAAAAGAAAATTTTTTATTAAAACAAGAAAAAGCAAATTTTTTGCCCTTTACAACCCATATTTAATCCTTAGTCAACAAAGCATATACTGGAACAATAACCACGAAGCTTTTTTAATTGCATCCGGTCCAGTTTTTCTAAAGTTTTATCAACGAATGTGCTTCAAATTTTTTTCTTTAAACCATATACCATAAATGAAAAATTATATAGTTTTATATTTTAATAGGAATGTATACGAAAAAACGTCTCATTATAACAGGTTTTTTACGCTGAAATCAACCTGTACATACGCACTCAAACAACAATAACGTTTAGGTGGGATCTGACACTACTTTTGTTGGCTAAAGATTAAAAGTACTCATCATTATTCAATTAAATATTATTTATTTGAAATGTTTCTATTTTTTTATTTTGCCAATGTGAGCAAAATTATTAATTTCTTTGGAAATCATTTGTTCAAAAAAATTACATAACTAGAAATTGCTGTGAGCAACTCCGTCAAGTTTATTATCGGTTTATCGTCAGTTTAATCGGAGTTTGGTAGAGATCATCTTTAACGTTAAGTACCTTCGATCAACGAGCTCGGTCATCTACGGATGGAAACTTTGCAGAACGCCGGTAGGTAGGAGATCAAGTTACCTTCCTTAGCTCCATACTGCCCGGTGTGCTCGAGCGTTGCGTATGCCTGGTGATCTTCTCATAGGGAATAGCACCTTTGTAGAGAGCGCTTGGGTCCAGACTAAGAGTCGCTTTCAGCGTGCTCTTCTTCGCTACGTCGTTCGCGTTATTGACGTTCGCATAGTTAAGGCCGATGATGCGACTCGGCGAACAGGTGCGCGTGTTGGGCGATGAGTTCGTTGTCGTGTTAGGTGGAGTGTCGGAAGATTGCACAATCAGGGAGTCGGAATTGGTGTCAGTTGTCGTTGTACTCTCATTGCCATTCCTGCGATCTGTTATCGCACTATCGGTGTTGACAGTCAGGTGACACTCCTCTTCCTCTGGACGGTTGTTGCCGTTCTCTTCATTTATTCGGTTGTCACGCTCTTCGATGTTGTCACACTGATGTATTGTCTTCAGATCTGAACGTTTCGGCAGATCTGTTCGATGTCTACCCTGTGGATTATGTAAGTTCATTTAACATTATTGCAATAGACAACAGGGTAATTATTGTGTCTGCCAACGCATTTGACAACGGAGTAACTTTCTTGAATAATACAGGTAATCCGCAAAGAAAATTGATCTTAATTTCAAGATTAATCAGAATAGTAAGTGTTGTATTTGGTAGCAATGAGCAGTAAAATTGTGCAAGAAAATATTCGATCCTGAACTCGGTACGTAAATCGGTTTAAGTAATTGGTATAGCAATTGGTAAGAGTAATTATCCATATTATTGTTTTTATTAGAATGTTTTTCTATTTAAATAAAAAAAAAATCTAGCACAAATAAGTAGAAAAATATTGTTTTTTTAAATTAAGTTAAAATATTAACATAAATAAAAAAGTACTTTTTTATTTATTTGTGCTAGTTTTTTATTCCGTGTGTAGCTAGTAGCTAGTCCCCCCATCGGACACTTCCCCAGGTGGCGGATTGGGGAATGCTCACCGGCGTTTTTCATTTTTAGCCCGAGGGTACCGGGGAAAGAAAATACACGGAATGGACCAAAACTAGCAAATAATAAGGCAATGGACAAAACTATCACGGAATGGAATATCTCAGGTGACAGCCCGATCATTAAAAAAATTCGGAAAATCCACCCTCTTTGGAAGCAAGATCCCCCCATGGATTCTGGGGGAGAAGAGCTATCTATTGCTATATAAATATCTAAATAAGATAATAGAATTGAAGAAGGAAGATTTTTAAACTGAAAAGCAGCAATTTTTATACAAAACCTTATTAACCGAAATTAGTGAAAAAGAAAAGTTTATCTTGAGAATTGAACAAATAAAACAACAAATGCGAGAGTTAAAACTAAAGAAATGTAAGTGCTCTAATGAGACGCAGCAAGTAAATATCAATTATGAAACAGATAAGGAAGAATTGCAAAGGGAAACAGAATGGATACTGAAAAAAAATCCAAAAAAGGAGCGAAAGGTGAGTTAATCAGTATGTATTTTATCTATAGAAGAAAAATGTGGAGAAAAACGCAATCAAGAAACTAAAGTAACTGGTAAGAATAAACCCCAACAAGTAGAACGTCAAAGACTAGTGGATAGAACGCACGTGGATACATCTCCTCCTATATATGTAGCATAGATGAAAGAGTACTCCGAGTTGCATATGATCATTAAGAATGCAGTTGTAAAAGAATGCAAAATAAGTGCTTAATAATGATGCGTGAAAAATAAACACTCTAGATGGTAGTTCATATAGAGTGCTAACGGCTGCATTAAATAAAAGAAAAATTCAATAGTATACGTATGAGGATAAACACGAAAGACTTATCAAGATCATGGCTAGAAAATTACATTCATCATGTAGCAAAAAAGATATAATTGAAGATCTCAAAAATAAAGAATTCAACGTGCTAAATGTGGTTAATATTCTCAAACGAGAAAAAAGGACCCTGGAAAATAGGAAAATGGAAATTATGAAGCGAGAATTACTACTTTTTATGCTAATTTTTTATAATAAAGAAAGCATTGAAAACATCTATGCTATCAAAAATATTAAATTTTGTTGTGACGATAAAACTATTAAGCAAGACTACACGTTGGATACCACAATGCAAACGTTGTCAAGAATTTAATCATACACAAAGGTACTGCCAAAAAGAACCAAGATGTATGAAATGTGCAGATAAACATTTCACCAAAACTTGCACAGTCAATAGAAACACGAGATGCATAAATTATAATGGTGATCATCCGGCCAATTATAGAAGAGTATTATAGATGTGAGGAAAAGGGCTTCAGAAGAGGAGGGATGCTCTGTTAAAACCAAAACAACGAGCACAACAAAGGAGTACTCAAGGCAAAAAAGAGACTACTTTCATACAAAATTCATTGCTAAATTGAAGTTATTAGTGAGAAGAAACAAACAACAATTGAAGGAAAACTAATCATACTGAATAAATTAAACGAGCAAAAACTTGTTAATAGGCAAATCCCTGATAAAATTAATAGACTTGAAGTCAACTTGAATATCAACGCGAAGATGAAGAAAAAATGAGCCTGAGAATACCTGGAATCCCAACTAAATTCAAGAACGAATATATGAACTAGAGCAATTTTTGCAAATGCAGAAGCTCGATATATGTCTTATTTCAAAAACACACTTTATCCGTGAATCACATATTAAAATTAGAAATTTTGAAGTTAGTTATGATTTCACGCAAATCATCCAGCAAATAAAGCAAAAGGATCTGCCAAAAATATTAGGCACTACCTCTAGTTAAGTATAGAAACGGACCAGATGCAAGTCACAATAATGTCACTTTACTTCAAAGTCAAAACGAATCAAAACTATAAAATTGCAGCTTTATACAGCCCGTCAAGATACAGTTTAAAGGAGCAGGACTATTCTATTTGTTTCAATACATTAAGCAAAGCATTCATAATTGGTGGAGACTTTAATGCTAAAAATATCTATTAGGATTCAAGATTGAACCACAAGTAAAGATAATGAATTCTTCAAAGCAGAACGTAAACTCAAATGTGACTTCTTATTTACAGGAAAGCCAACGTATTGGCCGACTAACACAGATAAAATTTCAGATCTAATTGACTTATTTATATTCAGAGGTATGTTGAGGAATTATATACATGTTGATGGTGATGAGTCCCTATTATCGGATCATACTCCAATCATATTAACAATTAGTACGACAATAATATACAAAGATGCATCATCAAGACTGTTTAATTTCAAAACAGACTGGGAAAAATTTCGCGAAGATCTTCAACAACTCGTATAACTAAATAAATCATTGAAGATACCATATCAATTAGAAACTAATATAAATGCATTTATAGAGACCATACAGTGAACAGCTTTGCAAAACATTTCCCAGACGAAAGCTCTAGCTAATTATCAAGAAATATACCCTCTTGAATTTAGAGAACTTGTTGCTGAAAAAAGAAAAGCAAGAGAAAACTGGCAGTGCACTAGAACGTCGCAAGATAAAAAATTCTGAATTCACTAAGCAACAGGATTAAAAATCTAAGTAGGGAAAGAATAAAATTATCAATCGATGCCTGAGAAGACTTACATAAGAGAAAAACACCGATTATTCTTTATGGAAAGTAACGAAGAGTCTAAAACAACTAAAAATGCAAAATCCATCAATCAAACACGATGATGGAACCTAAGCAATCATTTCTAAATAAAAGGCTGAATTATTTGCAAATTACTTGGAGGAGACATTTAAACCACTACTGAGACAGATAGCTGAAGAGCATCTTACACGCACCAGAAGGAGAGAAAATTTAAAAATTCCACTAGTTACTTTCCTAAGGGGTATGGCCACGGTAGAATTTTTAAAAAAGCGAAAAAAATTATTTTGTTTAAACAGTACCTTATCTTTGTAAAAATAAGTTGCAATTTGATTTATAACGAAAAAAATTTGTTAATGAAATTAGAGCAAACACCATAAGGTACGATACAACGCCACCAGGCGTATCGGAGCACGCCGTGGTGCGAATTGAGTAAAAATGAATTGCTTATTCGTTGTTTAGGAGGTTACACCCAAAATAGCAACGAAAATTTTAATTCAATTGTATGGAGCACGAATTCATTATCATTGTATTCAGCCGAAGAGCAGTTCGAGCGGCAAAAAGATCTTGGATATAGCTACCGATTTAGCTGTGTGCGTCTTCAACGATGGTCTAAACAGCATCATGTAAGTTATGAAAGTTTTGGGCATCGCAATAAGCCCTAATTGTTATAATTTCTGTGTCAAGGTCGATGAACTGCGCGTAGCACAAACCGAGCGCTATGGTACTGGCATTGCGAAATAATGGTAAAAAATTTTTAAAGTCACAATCTTTAAGTTTAAGTGCAAAAAAACAGCACTTAAAAGTTTAAAGGCATTTTTTCAAAACGTGTTTCAAATTGGTCTGACGCATTACTTCAATAATTTTTATTTGAATGACTTCAAATTTTAGCAGCAACTTGTTAGATATATTCCGCAGAGAAGTACGTAGAAGTTTTTCAATATGTAAAAAACTTTTATTTTATGAATAGTTTTTAAGAAATTTTTTAACAAAAATTGCAACTATGATTTCAAATGCCTACCATTTCTGAAAAAAAAAACAATATTTTTAAAAACCTTTATGTACTTCTCTAGGCAAAAAGAAAAAAACTTTTTTTCCTAAGTCAAAATATGTGGACGCTAGATGTCAGACTGCAGAGCACTTCCATAAAAAAAACGTATTAGGTTCCGTCAGCGTCGCCACTTTGGATCGAAAAAATATAAAAAAAAATTTTTTAAGTATCTTAAAATATATCGTAAACAATGCTTCAATTCCATTTTATATTAATTATTTTTTTTTATACTAAGAAAATCGTTAAATTTATTGATGTTTTTAGGTCCACTACTGTGGCCATACATCTTGAAGAACTTGAAAACGTCATTAATAAGAATCTGAATGCAAAGAAAGCTACAGAATACAATCTTATAATAGGCAGGATAATCAAAGAACTATTAGAGATAGCACTTCAAATTCACTTTTGCATCATATTAACGCGGCTATTAGATTAAAATATGTCCTCATATAATGGAAAGTTGCAGAGATGATAATGATACTAAAGTCTGGTAAACCATCCACACCACTCACTGCTATCACTGTAGTACCGAGGTGGACACGGCGCAACACACCCTTGAGCGTTGTCCCTCTTGGGTGCAGGAGTGCTGGTCGGAGTTGTTGGGGCGGACCTCTCTTCCCCGGCCCTTGTTAGGGCCATGCTCGGGGAAGAAAAGGCCTGGTCTGCTCTCACTTCCTTCTGCGACGAGGTCACGCGCAGAAGGAGGAGGCGGAAACCTCATTTTATGCGCCTTATGCGTTACGCATAAGGCGCGGAGAAAATGAGGGATACATAGCCGGGCGCGATAGGCCCGCCTTCCTCCCGCGCACACGCGCGGAATGGAGGGGTCGCGAGCAGCGGGCAGGAGAGGG